GTCGCCTTGAGTGAACCTTGGAGTTCAAAGCAACATGTAAAACATCTTGCACGTAAATGTATCACAGATCTTCAATATTTGTATAAAAATTCATGATCTCGAACTAAAGGAAAGTAAAAAAAGAAGTTTAGGTAAAATTGTTATAGCTTGTTGAATTCGCCTTTTTTTTTTCATCAACCAAGGTAGCATTACGAAAAACATGATGTGCTATTTAAACAAAAAAAAATGGATATCAGTTTCGTATATTGAAATTTAGGATATAAAAATGGAAACTGATCCCATTTGACGGACCTTCTTGAGTACAATGAATTTGATATAAAATATTTGTTGATAACACATAGGGAGAAATTTTAAACGGCAGTTTTTATTGATTCGCCTGAATCCAATAAACGCACATACGGAGTGGGCCTCACAAATGGCTAAAAATCAGTGGGACTACAATTAGTAGCTGCGAAGACACATCCATTCTTTGATAAACTGCAAATAATGGTCAAAATCACTAATCCCATTGAAAGAACCGTGCATCAAGATACACTGTCGAATTTAAAATCATTACTCATTCTCCGCTCATGTGAACATCCACCTGATTAGCCGACTGGTTGTGTTATCGCATAACCAAATCCCATCGATTATAAATCTTTCATGAGATACACCTCGTATGCGTACACGTGTTCAAAGTCCCGCAGTAAGATCGTAATAAATTATTTCGAAGGAATTCATAATTAAAGGAATGCCAGTGACTCTTAATTTTTTTATTGACAGATTTGAGGAATGTTTAAGTAAATTATCAAGATGTTACGTATTCTGTATCAGTGTCCGTGCATTTGAAGATATTGTACCTCGTCACCGAGGCCGATTTCTCGCGAATATTATCCTTCGGCTACGTCGATGTCATCGTCGAAAGGAAAAACGACAAAAACGGAGTTACTGGTGACGCATTCATGCTAATGGTCACGTTACTCATCACTGATGGCACGATTAATGTTCACGAGTTTGTTAACGATGCCATATTCCCTGCGAAAATGATAGTATGTGCGCATCTCGCTCGTCATTGGCCTTTTTTTTCGAGACTTATGTCGAAGTTCAATTGGCATTTTGCGTCCAATAATGTTACGTCACTTGAAGGCGCATTACATTATTCTTTAATTTTTTTCGAGGACCGAGGTCGCAATGCAGATATATGCAGAAATATCTTCTTTTCTTGAATTTAAGGAGATTAAAAAATATGAACTATTATCGATATACCTTCGTTGCATTGATTCTTATTGAATTAATTTAATTCCCGATAAGTATGTGGAGGTCAAGTCGACATTCTCCACGCAATTAAATAGTGACATCACCGGAAATTACAGATCTCCATAATCCTTGACTTTATCTCCATATTATTCCTGCCGAATGCGACACGCTCGTGACAACGTCCATGGCCTATAGGTAACGTTAACGATCAAGGGGTAAACTGTAGGCATGATTTGATAAACCCATGAAATCGTAAGAAATCAACCCATTAACGATCGAGACGCGATCAGCGCTACGTAAAGTGAATCCTTAAAAAAAGTTATAATTTTCCTATCCTATACTCGTAATAATATCATTATGGTATATTTTCACCTCTTTCAGACAATGCAAGAAGAAGATGAAGGTTTCCTTGGTTTAAAGATAGCGGTCGTTAATGGGTTAAGACAATCTGAAAGGTCCTAACAGTACAGTTAGTGCAGTATACGTATGGTATGCAGTTAGTGTGGTATAGTATATACATTCAGACTTCGCAGTCGCGCACATACCGCCGGATTTTTTCAAATCCTTAGATTTCGAACGGAGACAGATCGCCAAAGATATGACACTTAATTCATATACGATTGACCTTCCGTAAAATTTAATCGAAAGAAATTAATTATCTGTTCGGCCTTATCCACGATGTATGATAATTTGTAAGCGCCACTTCTAAGGTGGATTCGAGATCCACAAATTATTCATTCCCTTGTCCCGAATTCGATTTCTTCGCTTCATACAGGTGCGCCTGAATTAATCGAATGTTAATTCGACATTGTCGAAATAAATGAGCGGCTCGTTTATGAATTTAAATTTCCCTCTCCGTCTTGTCGAGATCTTTCTTCCGAGTTCGTCTAATCCAGCAGAAGGACTGATTTAAAAGTGACTTCCCTCGAGTCTTACGGTACAGTACCTACGTGCAGTAATTCGCATCAGTGGATGGAAGGTATGCACCCGCTACATCCTCGCATGAATACTAAGCTCTGACCGGTCGCGATGTAAGAACACGATGAAGAAGCGTTCCTTCCACGACTTCCGGTTTGCAATCCAGGGGGTCCATTCGGTCATTCGAATGTCCACTAAACTTGAATCTACACCTCACGTGAATGCTTACTCTGGAATGCATCGTCCGACCCGGAGAAACGCATTTCTTGTTTTGACCGAAGGGAAGTTTCTAACGGCACTGTGATTAAAAAACAAAAATAAAAATATAACAGTGCAGTCGCCTCAGGGAAAAAAGTAGCAAATGAAACAAAGAATTTTCCTGTATTCTTGAGTTTGTATGTACTATACATTCAATACTTCAATTGATGTACGAATTCTGGGAAAAGACACGCAAACAAAAGTTATGCAAGGAGTTCGTACATCACCGGTGACTTCGATGCTTGAGAAGCGGGGTGTCGCGATAGCGATGCAATCTGGTGATTTCAATGCGGGATAAGGGATACGTCTCGTCTCGCTTCTTAAGTATCAGTCAAGTATCGAAGAATAGAACAAAAAAATTGACTTAGAGTAGAACACACAGGAGATTCCTCGTTTTTATCGTTTTTTTGTGATACCGTCGAGACGACATTCCGTCGTTAACTTTCTTATCTCCTGTTTTATGGGCAGGTAGTTCAGGTAATTCCATCAGGCAAACTCATTTTCCCAGTTCTCTTTCATTTGGTAAATTATGTTAATAGTTATAACGATATAAAACATTCAGATATTAGTAATGTTTTCGAGGACTTATTTTGTATTGGTACAGGTATACGTCAGGTGCGTTGAAAAAGTGGCGAAACGGACAAATATGATCTGAATCATAATGATCCTGTTACATTTCTTTTGTTTAATTAGTAACTTTCGCTGTGTATTAGTTTCGTTAAAAGTGTTCCATCTCGACGAAAATTGCACAGCAAACGTTTCGAGGACTTTTACACTCATTCCCGCCATATAAAAGCTCTAAATATTGACGACCACATTTTTTTTACAGACAAATAAATCGCTTTTGATGCACGATTAAATAGGATACAAGCGCGGAATTACTTGAGCAGGATGAAACTGAAGTGAGTATTTCCAGAAAATTCTTCCCGTCATTCTTACGTAACATTAACTCGTGCAAAAATCCGCCATTCCATTGCAGAGCCAATTAAACAATTCCTCGACGCAGTAAAACCTGCTTTCGACATCGATCGAAAGAAAAATTCCTTCAATAGCGGCTATCTTGGTTCTCAGTATGAACTCGAAGTGGACCGGGATGAATGCATCCTCATTTTTTCCGTTTCTCCCTCTTTCTCTCTTATTTTTTTGCAAAACTTCGGTGCACCGACAAAGCGGTAAGACCCCTTCGAACTTTTACGAGCAATTTTTTTTTTTGCAGGAAACTTCTTGCGAGCTTTTACCAAACACGATTTTCCTGAAGCAAGCGGCACCGTTACGCGTGCGATTCTTCCGCGATGCGGCCCAAGTCTCGAAGTGGGCCTTAAAAGCGCGCGATATTGCGCGGAGAGAGTTTCTAAGTGAGCGGCAACGGGTTTTTGTTAATAAAAAATGAAGGAAAGACTCGCCGTGGAGCCTAATTTATGGTGGTTCCCGCGTACGTTTTCACGGCTTAAAGTGCGCAACGCAAGACGGGCAAAAGGAAGGCAAAGCTTGTAAATACTGGAGAATAGATCGAATCCTGAATAGAAAAACCGCACGATAAAGAGCTCCGTCAATAAAGTGGGGACTCCCGATTCATTCCTAAACGCCTCGTCGGTAATCGGCTAAACCCTCGGATAACCAAAGTTCAAAATTAGATTTCGCAATTAAAAATAAATAACAAATAGAATGCCAGAAAAGGGTACGTATTAATTATTGAAAAGAAGAAAAATTCCCTCCGCAAACAAGGATAAATAAAACGATGGAGGTCAGATGTAACGCCCGTGACCTATTTGAATTTCAAGATTCAAAATATTTACAACGCACTTGAAAATAAGAGCCGATGCGGTGACACTTTGATAGATGAAATTTTTTCATCCATTGTCGCTGAAAGCAAAAAGAGAAACTCGAAAAATTGGCGGGGATTCACCGGGCTAGCAATGCGAAACAACTGGAAAACACGTATGATCGGTTTCAAGCGAAGATACGATGAAACGTTTCATCCCATCTTCCCTACATCCGGTAGAGCGGTCAAAACCGAAACTTACGATCGACCGCAACGACCGCAATCTTCCGTCATTATCTATGCGAGCAAGCCATGAGAGGACGCAAGACGGCGAGGCTCATTCGTGTGGTAGTTCGATTGCGCCATCGGGGAATCTCCGACCAACTTCGATCGTCATCAGGGAAAAAAATTCCACGCGGGAACATCGCCAGTTCCTTCCATCCAAGAAACAACAGCCTTAAGAATTCCATGCCCTCATCGGATCGACATCACGGGTTTAAACACCCAACGACAACCGACCCTACTAATTGTCTTTGCCCTCGGTAACGCGTGCCTACGCTAGAAAAACATGTCAGAGACTCGTTTTGTGGATAACCTCGTGTAGGTCGAGCAGTCCATCGAGTCCCTTTCTCCGAGAAAAAGTAAGGACTACAACCTCCGCGGAAACGGTTCCACCAACAACGCGGTCATTTACAAGGTTTGCCTTCGTTACATTCAGAAGTGGACTTTCATAAACGGGGCCAAGATTGTAACGAAATGACAAAGGAATTCTCCATTCAACCGGTTGCATAACCCCGACTCTCGGACAAGAGTCATTGAAAAGAAAAATAGGATCGAGCAGCCCCCCCAAGGTCCTCTTCGGCACGCGCATCCAAGATCTAGCGGATGTCCAGGACGACCCAACGTCCCGTTTCCCCGCAAGTCCTAGATCAGAGACACCGTGTACACCGTCGAAAGGCCCGAAACTAACGGGGCCGGGGCCTGGGAAGAGGCTGCGGTTGCTGCTGGTCGTGTCGGTGATGGGCATTGGGGGCCCTAAGGTAGGGTCCGTTGGGCGTCTGGCCGCGTTCCTGGGCCGAGTCCTCGAGATTGAGGCCGGCCACAAGCTGAGCAATCTCTCGGTCCTTCTTCTCCTCCTTGGGCAGTCCATTTTGACCAGCGAATCCGAGGGAGGCCAGGCTCCCGTGGCTCCGGCTACGGTGTTCCGCCCGGATGCTGTAGGAGAAAGCCCGCTCGTTGAGGTGTCCCTTGCGCCGATAGATCCCGGTCCCAAAGCGGGAGTCGTTGTCGGCAGGGTCGGCGAGGGGTTCCGGGGCAGTCAGGTCAGCGTGCGAGGCGGTAAGCCTCGCAGAGGCCACCAGGGCCGAGGGATCATGGGAGGCCTCGGGATGGTGCCTCCTGCCCCGGCTCCCGGCGGTGCCGTAGGTCCCGGGGGCGTAGATCGCGGTAGGGGGCGGCGGCACGGGGAGGGGGGCATACACGGGGACGACGGGGGCCGCCGCAGGGATGGGTCTGATGCCCCGGGGGTGATGGTGGTGAGCTTTTCGCGGTAGCGTGGCCGCCGGAACCAGGAGGACGGGTCCAGCCGGTCTGGCGAGGGTGCCCGCGAGAGAGCGGCTACTGGGTGGCGGCTGATGCGGATGGTAGTGCTGCCTGACGGGGTGACCCAGGGTGTGATGGCCATGGCCGTTGGTGTAGAGAGCCTGGGCGTGGTGGAGATGGTGATGCAGGGCCTCCTCGTGAGCACGGTTGCGCTTCTTGGGCTTCTTGCCGGCCTTCCTCCTCGCGGTGGACTCGTCGACCATCAGGGGCTGCGCGGGAGGGGGCGGCGGGGGCGGTGGGGGCGGAGGAGCCACCAGCTGGCGAGGTCGGGAGCCTCTTGCGCTGCGCAGGGTTCCCTGCTGCTCCTGGCAGGGTCCGTCCATCTCGTCTCGACTTCGAGCCCACACCTTGTGGTTCTCGTCGCCGCTGTAGAGGCTGAGGTCGTCGGCGGAGGTATCGAGTCGCGGTTGCGGGCTGTCCGCCGAGGCCCCGGGCCCGCTGCCCAGCGTGTGGTAGAAACTAGCGGAGGAATGGCGCGGCGAGTCGGTCGCCGCGCCGTTGCTCGTCGCCGTCGGGCTCGCCGGGTCCAGGCCCTTCGCGTAGCTGCTGTCCGCGTACGCGTGGAAGCAGCACCTGACCAGCGCGTTCGCGGCCATGTCGCGCTTACAGATGAACGCATGGCACTCGAGCACCTTGATGCCGGTGGTGCGCCGCAAGACGGCCGCGAACAACGGTGGGTGATTCGCACTGGGGGTCCTGGCGAAGGGCGAGTCCAGCGGGAGGAACCTCGTCGCCGAGGTATTACCGTTGCCGCCTTTAACGTGCCGGACCGCCGCGCAGTAGTGCAGCGCCTCGATCGAGAAGAACCTGGTGACCTTCTTGCGGTGCTCGTCGACGTTTTCCAGCAAGAGACCGTTACTCCAGACACTCAGCCAGGAGTCGATGCCTCTGGCCCCCAGGGCCCCTTGTTCCGGATACAGCTCCCGCAGGGGTTCCTGGATCCCTAACAGACCCTCCTTGCTGGCATGCGGCACCGAACTGCCCAGGTACAGGACCCTGCACCTGCAGTACGGCGTCGCCGTGTCCTGAGCCGCGCCCCTCATCCTGAAGTCCCTCGAGATTTCGGACGATCCGGCGGGACGCGCGCGGGGACCGATTCGACGCGGTGCGCACGCGGGACTCACCGCCGGGCCCGACTACCACCCGCGAGGTCCGCGCGTCCCCTCCACCGCCTAGGGACCATCGGGAGGATCGCGGAGCACGGGCGCCTCGAGAGGACAGCCCTCCAAAGGGAGGTCACGGCGACGACCCGACCCTACTTCCGAGGCGGCGGACGGAGGGCCCTTCGGGCCCAAGGGACCCGGGAAAGTCGCGCAAAGCGGCGGCTAAGGCCGCGTCAAACCAACATGGCCGCCACTCCGGCATCCGCCCCCCTCCAAGGCAGGGCCCGCTCGCTCCCTTCTCCTGGCCCGGTATGCGGCCGCGCAGTGGCGTCGACGGCCACGGTCCCGTACGCGGGCTTGGCGCGGCCAGGAATTCGCCGGCGGCGCCCGTGCAAGGCGCAGGCGCGCTCCCGGGCCCACTTTTCGCTCGCTTTTCGCGGTCCACGACGCGGCAGGACCCTCGCACTCCCGCGGACCCCGAATCGCAGGCGTGACGCGACTGACGCCGCTGGGGCGGGCGAACTCCGGCAAGCGCGCGCGCACGGAACCACTGGCGGCGGCGAAGGCGGTCGGGCCCGGACTGAGGCTCGGCCGCCGGCCGGCCTCCTCGCGCGGCGCTCGGGCCCGCCGACCGCGCCGGCGCAGTGGGTCCGCCCGGACGTGACCCCGGGCCTCTTCCCTGCGCGCGCAGGGGTGCGCCGAGCCTGCCTCCGGGGTTCCACTAATTCTTCCCAACGTGCGGACGGAAACGACCCACCGCCCTTCTCCCTTGGTTTGGGAACCTGCGCGCATTTCGCTCTTTTGTGGGTCACACGGTGCGTGCGAACTCGCGTTATGACCGATTCGGCACCCACGGAGCGTGCGAGAATTCGATGACCGCTTTTCGAGGCGAATTCGTCGGTGAACGACTCGGATGAACGATAGGTCCGAACGATCGGATTTCGAGAAATGAAAAATTAAATAATGAAAATTAGATGGGTAGCGTTGGATGATGACGAATTAATGAAGGATGGAGGCTTCCATTGTTTATTTTGGCTCGAACATTCTCGATCGCGAAGACGCATATTTTTATCCTGGGAAATTCATCGAAATTTGCCACAAGATTGTGGCGATAAAATTTGGACAAAGTGCAAATTTGTCTTGGCGCTCGCTACTGTGAACACCTGCTATGTTTAGCTGTGTAAATACTTCGCAAACCTCCTCGGATCCGGAACTCGCGGATGATTGCCCTTTATAGGTCAGAGATTGCGTGCGCACATTCGCGCACATTCGCGTACATTCGCGCACATTCGCGCACTCGGGATTAAGAGCTCCCAGGCCGTGCGAAAATCGCGAGACCGTCCTGCATCATGGCTGGTTTCAAGACTGCGAATGTCTCCGCAAAAAGAGAATTATTTTCCGAGTTAATTCCCATGACTGGGCGCTGTTTTTTTTTTCGACAAATTCTTTTTAAATAGTCCCACCGTTACACCATCTTTTTTCCCCACGGGAAGAAAATCATGCCCTTGACTTGTCTTCCCGTTCTTGGTGCTTTCCCCGTGGAATTAAAGTTGCAAATTGTAACACTGCAGCCGTGAAAAGATACTTATTTAGCCTTCGTGAAATTTGTTTCATAATTTACGATGCATGATTATGATTTCGAAACTGCCAAGAATTTCTTAAAAGTGGGGAAAAATGAGCGGAAGAATGTTATTAAATCATTATTAGAAGGGGACGTGACTATCCATGATAATTTACACCCGCGTTCTAAGACTTAGATACGCGTAAAAAACATTAGCAATGGAAATGCCGGTTCTTACGGGCATTATACGAGGATATTTTCCCATTTGGAATTACAATTGCAAAGCGCTCGCGAGAGTTGGTTACAATATCTACGACTTTTCGCGGTACTTGACGCAACGGCCACCGAGCGTTGTACAGGACGACATTACGATCTATACTTGTTCCGTGCGAAGAGAGAACTCAGCCATTTATCTCCAATGTTCAGGCTCTGTAAGAGACTTCTCGCGTGCTTCGAAAGAAAGAGAAAAATTGGCCGATTTTACCACGACCGTGATTGCGCGCCCGAACCGAATTTACACTTTACCGTTAATGGCGGTAGCTAACTCGTGGAATTTACTTCAACGCTCGAATGACTTTTACAGGAGTAAACTAAATTCGGACCTACGATTTGGCTGTCACTAAAGTACAACGTTAGTTCTTAAACCGAACCTACTTGACAACGCCGATATCGAGGGTACCACCTCCTCGTAATTCATTTCATAACATTTTCCGAAGGCTATAAAATTAGATTTTAAAGTCACCTTCGAGTTGCACGCAAACAGTGAATTACTTCAATCGTTTCGTTAATAAGTATACCCATTCTTTTCCGGAGAAGCACTATATCACCGAGTTGGAACTCGTACACCCTCGATAAAAATGGCGTCATTCCTAAGAACGAGACCTCGCCAGGAAGAGAGAAGCTGATTAAACATCGGTAGAAGTATCGACAGCGTAAATACATTTTCCTCCGCTCATCTCCGAAAGAAAGAAAACATCCGACCGCATCTCTATGTCGGCATCCTCGTCAAAGATGGCGTCATCCCGAAGCGGAGCCGCACCTGACCGCAGGGTCTTTAGAGACGGGATTACAGCCTGTTTCTCTCCCACTTCCCAGGCCACCTTTCCCGCTGTCTCGTCGTCTTTCTCTTGTAGGACCTCACGCCCTACCTCACCCCTGTCACGCGATAATTCACGGATTTCGATCCATTGTAGATTTGTACACTTATCCATCGTTTTGTATTCCATATATTAGGACCTTGAATAAGTTCTCGCTGTTTATTTTTGTGAATACGAGTGCTTTATTTAAAGTATGTGGTAAAAAAAAAGTCATTGAAAGTATTGCCCATCATTGGCCACTACTTTTGCCTATCTTTCTGGCAGCATTTGAAGTTGTATCATCTACTCCTAATGATTTTGAAAGTTCCGCTAACGTCTGACATGAGTCTTCATTCAGTAATTCCTCTAATTCTTCGTCTTCAAACTTTTTTGGTGCACCAGAGCGTTCTTTATCTCCAAGGTCAAAATCATTATTTTTGAAGCGTCGAAACCAGTCTCTACATGTCGTTTCCGATAAAGCATGTTCACCGTAAGTTTCAACAAGAATTCTGTGTGCTTCAGCTGCAGATTTCTTCTGAATAAAGTAGTGCAATAAGATTCCCCGCAAATACTCTTTATTTGGCACAAATTTCGACATGTTTGGAACCAAGTAAAAAAAACTCTGTTTACACTGTAGCGAACTAACACACACTGAAGTTCAAGCTTACCGATAGTACTTCCTTGTAGATGCGTTACCATCTGAAATTACATGCACATAGTTCTGATAACGCCATCTGTTAGAAAACAGCGAGAACTTATTCAAGGACCTAATATCTTTGTATTCGAATTTAGGATAATCGCGAAACATCTCCGCGGCGCTTTAAATGTCGGGTTTTATATACTCCATTGTGTACCCATTGCGAATGCCGTTAGGAGCCACCGGCAGATGTCCTTTCCCTTTTACCTGCATGCATCCTACTTTTCCAATCGCTTTTCTAACAATTTCCTTAATTTCGAGTTCTCCCCCGTCGGTCATCTTCGGACGCACCCGGTGCACCGTCGTAAACGACGGGGCCGCGGAGCTGACCGACAAAAGTGACAATGCATGCCTGTAAAGTGCTTTTCCTTCTTTTCCTTCCTTTTCTTCGGGTCCCGGTGAAAATTTTCCTTCTCCTTTCCCATCGGTCGGGACTTCGCCTGCATGAGTCCTTACCCGACCGATTCATTCCTTGCTCATCGCTCCGAGCTTTAAGGTGAATTGAAACCCCCTTCAAATCAGTCGATTCGAATACAACACTTTTTTTTAAGGGTATTAGACCAAACTGTCCGAAACTTTGACACATCACTTCTGATCATCTAAGAATTGTCCTGACACATTCAAAATTTGGATTTTTTAACAAAATATTTGAACTCAGCCCAGACCAGAACCAAAATGGCGTCGAGCTCTCATATTTCGATCAATATACAATTATCGAAGGCTCTGATATGAGAATCGAAAGGGTCAGGACAATTTTACGACAATTTAGAACACTCTGGTAGTCGATAAACTGGCATTTGAACGAGATAAAGGCAAAAAAAGTATTGTATACGCTTCTATGCTAAAAGGATGGTAATTCAAGGTCTCGGAGTGAAAATTTAATTGACCTGGAAATCACAGATGGCGCAGGGGGTCCCTCTGCAGTCAATTAGGGCCTCAGAAAGCATGAATCCAGAGGATTTCTGGAGTTTTACTTCGATTTCTTTATAATTATTGTACGAAAACGACAGGTGGAGTATGCCATTTGGTACAATACCCAATATAATTCGACCCAGCTGTCAATATAAAAACGAACGTCGGCAACGTAGGCATTTAGAAAAATCTTCTTTATCGACGTTGATCAAGTTCCTCGCCGTGTTTCACTTCACCTTAAAATACAAGTTCCATTCACATGGCAAAATACCGCGTCTTCCTTCCGCTTGCGAACATCATTGATTGGACCCCAAACGCGATGCCCAAACTCTATGTCTTTCCGTGACACGGCCGAAACCTGTATCGAGGTGAGCCGAACCGACACGCAAATTGCGAGATCATCCACGAAAATCAACGGCGTAAATGACGGCCATGACTCGAGATTCGGCCCCTCTTCGAGAATCGAAAGAACCGGCGAAACGAGTCGAGAGGAACCTCGGCTTATTATAGCGATAGGGTCAGCCTCGGGCCCACTTGTCGCTTTGGTCCCAAAATCGGGCCCCGCTTGGAAGGCCGATTTCTCGGCCGCCATTTTCTTCTTTCTTTCTTTCTGCGTCCTCGAGGCGAGCCATCGCGTTCGCTCGGATCACCGCAGAGAGATTCTTTCTCGAGTCCGAGCGGAGGATCCTTTTCACCTGAAAACCGAGTAACGTTATTTGCCACGGCCTACGCCGTTTACCGTTGAGCAAAGACGGGTGTCTCCTTCGCCCGCGAGGGATGGAAATTTAGCACAACGAGTTTTCACCTGCAGACATTTTTCCAGAGGGGAGATAAACGGGAAAAAAAAATGGCAATTGAAATTACTATGTGACGAAAGGAGCCCTTTTAAGGGACATTCTTAGAGTAGTAGGGCTTCATTGTGATGCAGTTATCAATAATAGATTCATTGTAGGCCAAAATTTGCAATTATAAAACATGCGTAGCGTATGTTAGCCATTTTGTAATTCGTGTGGCCTTATGGACGTAAGGCAAGGAATGTTATTTAATTTACACTCCATGTCCGCAAGAATCCATATTCTCTCTGATTCCAACGTCATCTGTAATTACATGCAATCAAGTACAGCACCGTATGAGCGAGGGAAAACCACTTTAACGTGGTGAGTACTTCACGTATCACGTGCGATGCGTTAATCAATTCATTGCGTACGCCTTCTTTACAGTATTTATTCTCTTTATTCCGTGCGAGAAGAGTCTCGCAAAGCGTGAAAATTCAGGTACTTCGCTGTACTCACCGTAAAGAGAATATTTTACGAATCAACC